GAAAAAAAAAAACAGTAGGTTACATTTTTTTCGACACACAAATTTGCCTGGGCGGGGTACTAGTGGCGGGGGGGGGGTAAGACTTGCTGGCCCAACGCTGGGGGAAAGGAGCCCCAACCTGCTGGCTCCCCAGAATAGACCGCCAGAGTCGTTACCATAAGGCCCTGTTTGGTTAACCAACCACATCCTACTGTCTTCACTCGAATACAACGCCCGGTCATTATAGCTGTATTTGGGGCAACTTTCAGTCTAGATACAGACATAATTACCGGGCGTTCTATTCGGGTGAAGACGGTAGAGGCGCGCCGGTTAACACACCCCCCATTCCTCGGATGTACGGGCCTGCCAGTACCCAGTTAAACTTACCAGTCCATCAACAGGCGGCACTGTACATTTTGCTAGTATTCGAGTACCAGGCCGAAATCTCAGTACGCAGGTCCGGTGGAGGCTCGGTGGGGGTGGGCTGGTGGCCCCACAATAAAAAGAAGTGCTACTGTGCCACGTGGGAATCATAACACCATGTGACATAGGGGCTCACTCTACTATACAACACTCTACAATACGTACATGCTTTTGAATGCTCTCTGGAGTCTGGACCCAATACATTCAAATTTCAAAACGTTCGACTCGTCCGAATGCACCCAGTCCAGAAACTGTACCAATGCATGTGGAGTGTCGCGTAGTGGGACGAGGCCCGTACAGTTTTTAATAACTCTTTATGTTTCGTCTTCTTGTTTTTTGTGGTTTTGCACGAGAAAACCACCCCGCCAGCTCAGCAGAGCCGACTTAGAACCCTGCAGCTCTTTCTCTTTGGAAACTGTGGCATACTGCGCAGCCACACGGACCTGCAGGGCCCGACCAGCGTTCTCAGCCAAAAAGCCTGAAAACAAGGGCCTACAGGCCCTGTGTCGTGTCAGCCTAAAAAGGGCCCTCCAGGCCCTGAGTCTTTTCAGCCTGAAACGGAGGGCCATTTTCAGGCCCTCATAAGATCAACCTGCCCTGAAACTTAGGCACAAGACCAGGGTTTTAGCACAGGCCATTTTGGGCCTGTTTTCAAGACAACCTTTGTTTGAACTTCAACGCCATTTTGGGTCTGGCACGTTTTGGCATTGGCAAGAGCAGCCTCCTGGACGGGCCGGCACTATATAAGACTGGCCCGACCTGCAGGCTGCAGGCAGTTGGGAGGTAGTTCATAGGGACTTCCCAGGCACTTCATGTGCAGGAGGCAGGAGGCAGTCTTCAGGATTCGGCAGCAGCACTCTGGAGGAGCGCTGC